GTTCAGGAAAGCTCTTTCTCACATCTGTGTCATGAAAGGAAAAATTGGACCTCTCAGGGTTACAGTAATTTCAAGACTTAAAACAATTAAAGCCACAAAGCACACAGGGAGCCAGGTTTTACTCAGGATACCACTACACATTTTATTTGTTTGCATCTTGTATTTTAACCAGACCAAATAGTTTAGTGGAACTGCATGACCATAAAACAACACAAAATCTGGATGGGATGTGTGGATTGCATTGCGTTAGTCCGATTGACCCCCATAAATTTGCACAAGACAGAAGAAAGCTGTTGCTGTAAGGATGTGTTGCTCTGTTTAGTGACTCTCACAGCCCTGTTTAACAAGTTTTTGATTTATGCAAATGCCCCCATCATGTGAAGTGGTGTGAAGGGATACGGAGGCAGGATTTGGTCAGGAAAAGGTAAAGGAAAGAGTTCTTTCCTCTGCACTGGGCATTTTCTGAGGGCTGCAAAGACAGCACCTCAGGTTCTGTCTGGTGTCTCTCCAGAGGGAGAAACCCAACAAATGCCAGTGCTGGTGATGAGCTCTGTACCTGGAGACCAGAAATTTAACAGGAATTTCAGCTACAGGAAGTGGCTACTGGCCAGTGAGACTGTCCCCTGAAGCTTTTGACACCGGCAGAAAAATGGAATGGAAAAGGGTTGGTAGATTTGAGAGGGAAGCAAATGAAAGATATTTCCTGAGATGCTAGAGAATGAAACTGGCAAAGAGCATCAGAGCATCTGGTGACTGTACCAGTCCTTTCTCTCACTTCCTGGTAGTCTCAATAATTAATTAATTTGGTTTTGAACAGGACTCTGATCCTACATCTTCATGGAGGTGAGGGTAACTTGTTTTTAAAGAGCAGGGTAAGTCCTGTGTGACACAAAGGAGCCTGGTTGATTTTTCACTGTGGTTTCATTTTCTTTTTTCTCAGGAGAATTTCAAGCCAGGACATGTCTCAGTGGCCTAATCTGAAATGCACAGGGAACAATCTCTGTTTGCTTTGCAGGGAGGGACTCCCTTGCTCCAGAAATGGTTCAGGAGTTAACACAACTGTTTTGCTGTCAATTCTTAGTTCCAAGTGTGGCTTGCAGTGAGTGGTGGGACCAGCAGCAGGGAAGAAACCCTTGATTGCAAACAAAACTATTGGCTTTACGTTTGTAGAATGTAGTATGATTTCAAAACAAAATTATCATCTGTTTACTCAGCCAAGTGTTGTGATTATTGAGTCAATGTCAGTGACCTTTAAACAACTGGATAGCAATGGTTGCATTTCAAAGGTACTTCTGGTCACTTTGGATGAGGGAAATCCAAAAAAAAAATCATGCTTTTTTCCACCTCCATCATTCTGTGACGTTGTCCTGCTGGTCAGAAAAGCCTCCAGACAAATTCCCCCTTCTGGAGCAGCTATGTGCAGGGGAGCAGGCAGTTGCTCCATCTCTGTCAGCATTGTAGCAGGCACCTGGTCGTGACCACTCAAACAAACGTTGCTAACACATTTCCACAATAACTTCATGCTCAGAACTTTCCAACCAATTATCTTTTGGGAAGACATTTCTCACATTTGGCCTCTGCTTGAGAGGGATTTTTTTTTTTTCTTCTAGGCTTGAGAAAAACGATGCCAGCTGTTTCTGAACACAGCATGAATTATAACATTATGCCTCCAAAGTAGTGTGAGCTCCTCAGAGTGCGCCCAGCTGAAATGTAAAGCTTTGAAAAGCAAAGCCTTTGCCTGGCGTTATTTTTGACGTTTCTTTACCTAGATTAAGAAATAACCATGTTTTGAAAGAACTCAGCTTGATTTATCGATAGGTGAGCGCCCGAGCCTCCAGCAGGAGCAGCTGCCAGGTGGGTCAGGGCTCACTCCTGTGCCTGCAGAGTGCATGGAACCGTTGGGGAGCACGAGCAGCCGCACCTTCTGCAGGAGGAGAGCCAACAGCACAGGTCTGCCTGCCTGCTTTTTTTTTTTCTTTTTTTTTTTTTTTTTTCCCCCAAGGCAGACAATTAAATTTGAAATAGGAGCGCTGTGTTTGCAAAGCTGAGCATGCTAACACGGTGACATTTCAAAAGCTGAGAGTACAGTTCCCATCTGGGTGGGCAGCGTGTGCATTTAGGTATGCACACATACACCCGAGTGGACGCAAGTGCGCAGAGGTGAGGTACAGATGGGCTAGACTAATGTTAGAAATCCATGTCCTTGTTTAAATGCTCTAAGCTATCAATACATGCCAGCTTTTCCCACTTGAGACATGTTACCTGTTACCAAATGCCGCCCCATGAACACTGCAAAATGAATTAACTGTCGGGAGGGCTGATCGGGGTCTGTGTTATAAGTGAATAAACGAGTCTCCAGGCTCTTCCCGTGCTTAGCAGAGAGACCCAAAGATAACAAGTTTGTATGAACCGAGGATGGAATATTATCGTATTGGAAAATGCTGTGCAAATCTCTGTGAGCCTCATGCTCTCAGATAAGTGCTTTTTTGATACGTCTATTTTCTAACATTTTGGAAGGCAATCGCTGTCACCCACCGAACCAGGAAGCTATGGGAACAAAAAAGAACAAAACAAAACCCCTTCACCACTACCACCAGCACGTTCCCCTGTCTCCTACGGGGAGTCTCTGGTTCTCCCCGAAACCAGAACGACATCGCGTGCTGCGCTGTTTTAAGGGGAGAAGTTATTTATTTATTTTCAGCGTTCTGGAATTTAATTAAACGGCTCCTTCCCGTTTCCTCGGGCTAAGAATGAACCCCCCCACCCCGAAAAGCGAAGAGCTTCTGGCCGTCAGATGGAGCGGCACGGAGGGAGCGCGGGGTGGTTCGGTTTTTTTTTTGGGAGGGGGTGTTCAACAGTTTGGGGGCGAAGAAGGCTCCCGTTTCTAGCCCTTTCGAAAGCTGCGCTGCCTTCACTGCATTTGACCGTTTCCGAGCCGTAAGAAGGACTCCGATTTATGATAAAGCGACAAGGCGTCCCGCACGCCTAAGAAGTCGGGACGCCCCCTGAAGTCTGTTAAAAAGAAGAAAAAAAAAAGGGGGAAGGGGAAGAGAGAACGCCGGGGGAGGACGTCCCCGCGCCGTGTGCCGAGAGCCGCTCTCCCGTGGGGCGCTGCCGGCACGGGGCGCTCCACCGCCGGGGGGAGGGGGTCCAGCGGGGTCCCCGCGGCCCGGCTCGGCACGGCCCGGCTCGGTGCGCTCCTGTTATGGAGCGCGAGGCTGCGCCGCCCCGCCTCCGTGTGAAGCCTTGCATCACCGCCGCGGGCCCCGCTGCCCCCCCGCCCGGCCGCCCGGCCGCCCGCCCTCCGGGAGCTATTAATAGCATGACATCAGCCCGGGACTCGCCGCCAGAGTAAATACCAGCTCTACCCGCTCGGCTATATAAGGGGAGTGATGCAACCGCGGCGAGAGGCAGAGGCGCGGAGAGCGCGAGCGGGCGCTGCTCTCCCGCCGGCGGAGCGGGCACGGGAGAGAGAGCGGGCGCGGCGCTGCGCGGCGCGGCGCGGCGCGGCCGGCGAGCAGCCCCGGCCGGCCGGCGGCGACGGACTAAAGGTAGGAACCGCGGGCGGCTCCGGGGAGAGGGATGGGCCGGCGACCGGAGGAGCCTGATCCTGGGGTGCCCGCAGCTCTGGGCCGCGGGCGGCTCGGAGCAGAGCCCCGAGCGGAGCCGCGGCTGCCCTGGGCCAGCCGTGCCGCTCGGCGCCGCGCGGGGGCGGGCAGCGCGGGGCTCGGCGCCGGGGGGCCGAGGGGATGCCGGCCGTGACCGCCCGCGCTGCCGCTCCGGCTGCCGCTCCGACTGCCGGCGGGGCGCCGGGAGAGGCTGCGAGGCGCCGGGCAGCCCGGGAGGAAAAGCGCCGGAGACTCGCTCGGTTCTCTCTCTGTGCCGGTGTCCGACGCGGAGATAGGTCTCCAAAGTCTTGCCTAAGCGAGGCAGGCGTGGCTCGACAGAAAACTTGTTAGAGAGAAGGAGCTGCCCTTTCGAAATGGGTTCTTCTCGCGTTTGAGCAGTTGGAAGCCGGCGGAAAGTGATTCGGGAGTGATGTGGGATGTCAGAGAGCTTAAGGTCAACCAGCGTGCACAGAGGTTGTGAACTGTAATTGCCCTTAATGCTGTTTAAGATTAACCTCAATGGTTATCGGCGTTTGTTGCATCAGCACCGGAGGAAAAGGGATTCGTGTGAAGAAGCAAAACCGAGAGAGAGGCACAGTCAGCCGTCAGCAGCTGAGCAGAAAGACTCCAAGCAGTCGTTCGGGAATACACATAACTAACAGAAGTGCATGGCTAGGAATCGTGTACCGAAGCTAAAACATCGGCAGAGGAGATGTGTAGATTTGGTGAGGATGGAAAGAGCCACCAACAAAAGAACAAATAAGCATAGTGGCAGAAGCAATGTTCATTGAATCTACCTCAAGCTGAAGGTTCCATCAATAGTAGAGCTGTTCCCCACGGAATTGCCAAACTAAGAATAAAGTAAAGAAGCGTGAGCTCATGGTGGGAGCAAGCTGTGCCTTTATGAATCAGATCCATGAAATGTTCGACACCTTCAGTTCCAGTAACTTCAGAAGTCCTCAAAATAGACCAGAGCTGCCATCCACGTACATGGTCTAATGAAGTAAACAGATAGGATCAGGAAGCCCAGATGTAATCGCAGTTCGGGGCTAGATGTCCCTATTGCTATGCAGACCTAGGGCAGAACGGCATGCCACTCTTGAAAACTGATAGACAGAGGAACAATTTGTGCAGAAGTTGGAAGAAGGGGCAGGCTGTTGTGGTTTATTTTTATTAGGAAAATCTAATCTCCATCCTCGTAAAGTGTTTCTAAAAGTAGATCTGTTCCTCAGAAATTGGAAAACATCTACCTTTTGTTGTGGAAAGCCAATCTGTTTGGCTTACTATTGGCTTCAACACAGGCTAATTATTTTTTATATCCCTGTCACTCCCGACCACCTCAGCCGTGCACTGGAAGGAATCCTGCCATGCCATGCACCGGCCCCAGCTCTGCTGCCAAGCACCTGGGGAGTCAGCCTGGGGCAAGAAGCCCTGCCAGCTGTGGTGGGCTGGGGTCAGGACCCATCCGGCTTGCCTGGCACTTGGCAGGCCCCCGCCCCAAAGTGTGTGTAAAAGGGATGCTATCAGGGTGCCTGGGAGGTCAGTGAGTAGTGCAGGCAAGGGCACTGCTCTTTCTGGGTTTCCCCTCCCAGTGGCAGCCTCCCTTCCCTTTTTGTCAAATCGAAGATGGATCAGTAGATCAACAGCTCTATAGAAACCTCAGGACATTACAGCAGGGTTGCACAGAAACCTCAGGACGTTACAGCAGGGTTGCACTGGGGCTCGTGGTACGCTTAGCGCTTGTAGGAATAGCACTGCCTGGTAGTAAGCACAACTTCTCAGACACGTTACTAAAACATGGGCATTCTTGGTTTCCTCTGGTGCTGACTTTAATTAAAAGTTGACCTGATCTGAAATATAAATGAATAAACTCCCCCGTGCTGAGAAATGCTTGGCCCAATTAATTATTCCGTGTGCTGGAGAAATGGTTTTATTGTTAATTGAAGACTCCTGGTTTGATTGAATTATATGGAATTAAGTGTCTTGAATGAAGGCAGCAGCAGGAGCGGAGGAGACGGGCGGTCGGGGAGCACAGCTCCAAATTCTGTGAGCAGCGGGGGGCTCAGTATCACCTGCAGTCAGCCTGTTTCACTGGGCTGAACGGCTGGATGTTGAGAAATGGTAAATAATGCCAGGAGTTTAGCTGGAAATCACAGGGCCTTTCTGACTCGGGGAAAAAAGTAACTGCCAGCTTTCTGAGATTATAGGATTAAACTGTATCAGTACTTTAAATGTGACTCATGAGCAGGGGCTTTCTGAAGAGAATTACATAAATTTCCCAAGGTCTTTCTGAATAACAAATTGTTCCGAATAATTTCCTCATATTTAACAACCGAGGGTGAAATCCTGGCCCCGCTGAGGTCAACAGCAAAGCTCCTTTTGATTTCGGTGGTTTCAGCATTTCACCCCTGGGATGTGGGAAATCGTTGGCTCTTCTGTGGTCATTGAGACTCAAAGTGAGGAAACCTCTGCAGCTGGACAAGTGATTTTCTGTCCTCTGGCAGTTCACTGCCCTTGGATTTTTGTGTTTACCTCGCTTAGTGAGGAGCTGGGTTCTACTCTAATTTGCACCGATGTGGATTTACAGTATATTTTTAGATATCTCTGAGCGAAATCTATCTTCTTGTCAAGGCACGTGACCCCAACCATTTCTTGCCATGTCATAGTAGTAGCAAATAGGGAACTGCACAATTTGGGGTTGTCCATGTGGAAATTTAACTTTACCCACACTCCTATCCCAAGGCAACTGTTTGCTTACCTGCACTACATTAATTGCAATGACTTGGCTATAATTCCTACAACTCTAAACAAGAATAGATTATGTGTCATGTAGTTTCCAAAGGAATCCAAGAAAACAAAAATCTCAAAAACCTCCACGATGAGGAAAGCAGGAAAAGTAATAGATCAAAATCCAATGAACAAAAGTTGCTTTATGATTAGGGGAGGTAATACAATCTATTTTCCTGCACCTCTTGTCCTGTGGGCCAGCCACACAAAATGCTCAGCTTTCTTCCAGACCTCTTCTCTCGCCTCTGCTGAGGGATGGATGGTTTGTGCTGGGTTGCCCATGGTGTTTGGGTGACTGACTGCTGAGTTTTGTGCATTTCTCCCTCAGTGGGATTAGCAGTTTTCACCAAGCACGTAGGGCGTGTCTCTGCCTCTTCCAAAATTGGCTAAAAAACTGAGGATGGCTAAAAAGGGGAAAGCAAAAACCACTGTCAGATTGGTTTATTTCTGTGGGCAAACTGCTAGAAATGATGTTCCTCCATGGGTGCCCCATTAACCAGTCTCAGCCAAAGTCTCTTTGGTTACATAGCTTTATATCAGCAGGAGATCTGACCATAAACACTGAAGAATTAAAAACTTGTTGAGGGCACGTGAGGACAGTTTCAGATTTTGTGAGTGTAAAGGGAGGAAACAACCGGCGTTGCATTTTTCATTACTCCTTCCCTCTGTCTCAGTTTGTGCCTCAAAGCTGTGTGGATGTGTAGATTTCCACCTTTCTTACAGCTCTGATTGTGAACTGCTTCTCAGGAGTATATAACAAGACATATTTTTCTGTCTGTAAAACTGAACCTGGTGAGCACTTTGTAGCTGATTCAGCAAACTTCAGCTTCTTCAAAACTCTCTAATCTTTACTGAAGTGTAGCTGAGATGAAGGTGGGCTCCGTCCATTTCAAGCTGTGATTTTGTGGTGGGGTAGCTATGAAGATACAGATAATTCAGTGTTTTAAATAATAATAATATTTCTTTGGTTGCTGTTTTTGGTTATTGTTTTAAAATGCTGCCTTGAATTGAGCCTGGTGTGAAAGCTTTTACTAGTGATAAAATTCTGAACTGTTTCTCATGAGAGACTGAGGTACGCAGGGAATGTGGGCTGAGCAATGCAAGAAATATATTACTTCACAGTATGAAATATACCTCTAGGAGATATTACTTGCCTCTTTACAGCTGTTGAAAGGCTATTCCTGTCTCTTTTTGCTTTTCAGCAAAATGATGGTCCAACACACCGGCCAGGTGTCTGCATTAGAAGTCAGTGCCTCCGCAATTGTTCCCACCTTGTCTCCTGCAGGGTCACTGGGGTTTGATGATTTCACAAATTTAACCCCACTGGTGAAAGAGGAACTTAGATTCGCCATCCAAAACAAACGTCAGTCCCACAGGATGTCTTCTGCTTTGGATACGGTGACAGTGTCCGAAAGGCCGATGGAAACATCAATCATGAAAACAGAGGTATGGCACTGAGCAGCATTTCGGGGCGAATGCTCAGTTCTCTAAGCAGCTTGCACCAGAAGAGCACTAATTATGTCAAATACAAACAACCCCTCTCCACCATCTAAACATGTTAGTTTATTTGATCCTTTTAAGTCTGTTGCTCGGTTTTCTGTTATTCGCTTCTGGGAAATTCCTATGGTATTTGTAATTTCCACTGAAGTCTGTAAGTTAGTGTTTTATTTTTAATTATGAATTAGGACAGTGTTTGACAGTGATTAGAGTAAGTGCTAAATCTGGTTTCTCTGCCTACTTGTGGCTCAACTTGGAATAAGTTGTCCTTCCCATGCTACATCCTAACCACGAGGCTTTTAATTTAAGATAGATAATGATCTCAATGGAAAACATTGTATTATAAAATGAAGAAACAGATGAAGTTAGGGAAATGGCAACACCTGGGTCTGAGCCCAGCACCCCCTTTTTGGCATGCGGCCTCGGAAGACACTTGGCAATTTTTTGGGGTGACATTGATTTACAACGAGCCATCGCATTCATCCAAACTTCAGTCAGGTTTTATTGACAATTTAAATGGAGTTACTACCACTTTACAGTACTGCAAGCAAGGTCAGATCACATCCTTATGTAACTCATGATGTGAGCACTAACAGCAGTGTGTTGCTTTTAAGTACGTTAAAGTTAACAAAATATAGTCAAAGTGTTTCAACATCTTATGGATTGTGTGTATCTGTTTTTATGGGATAGTTTTCTCCTGAAGAGGATGAAAGAAAAAAGCGAAGAAGGGAAAGGAACAAAATTGCTGCTGCAAAGTGCCGAAACAAGAAGAAGGAAAAAACAGAATGTTTGCAGAAAGTAAGTATCTGGCTTTAGATCTTTGAGATATATATATATATATATATGTCTGTCATCATACTGTGAACGAGATGACATTTCTTCACCTTATCTGCTACCATTTAAAACTATTTTACAGCAGCATAAGGCCTGTGTTTGTTTCTATATATCCAGGGGTTCTGATAGAAAGCTACGTTCTTAGATGGTGTAACATAAGTTTACAGATATGTGATATGGTGTACTGGGGAGTTAGTAAGTAGCATAAATAATTTTGGGTCAATAGTTGACCCAAAAAGTTCAAAATAGTCTTATAGAAGATAGAAACATTACTTCGGATGCCTGCCATTGTGAGTATAAATCTGAATTTGGCTTTTCAGTGTCTGTTACACTTCTGTAAAGGCCGAAGAAGGCAACTGTCAATCTGTTCTTAAGACTATTATCAACTGGGGGATGTATAGTTTCACCATTATGGGACGCTGAGAGCTTGTAACTTCTAACCATATGCTTTTCCACCAATGAAAAGCTGCAACTATTAGATAAATACTGCAATTAACTACCTGGAATGCTCACACTAATAGTTGTGTCTGTACCTTGTGACTAGGAATCAGAAAAGCTGGAAACTATCAATGCGGAATTAAAAGCCCAGATTGAAGAGCTAAAAAATGAGAAGCAGCATTTGATATACATGCTAAATCTTCACAGGCCCACCTGTATAGTTCGGGCACAAAATGGAAGGACACCTGAAGATGAAAGGAATCTTTTTATTCAACAGATCAAAGAAGGAACGTTACAAGGTTAAGTGATATGGCAAATGTGGAAATATTTATAGTATGTTTTAACAACTATAAGCAACAGAATCCACAGAGGATCTGACTTATGTGTAGGATTCTATTAGTAAAGAGCGCTTAGGAAGGGCAGATTGCTTTCTTAAGCAGGAAGAATCATTTTTGGCTTGTCAGAGATTCTTCCCCTTGGAAGATCTGGTCTCGGTCAAACTGAAGAGCCTTCTGCCTCATAATAGGTTTTGCACCTGTCATACATGCTGTTCCTAGGAGCTACAGACAACAGCTTCAGAAGATTAGCTCTCTGCTAGTATACAGTATCTGCACTCACGACGTTTGTGCTAGAACACTATGACTTCGATGATGCACATGGTACATACAGCTGTGCTGGATGGACACTACTTTTCCTTGTGGCTGTCAGGGAAAGCAGACAGAGTATTTTTAAAGTTTTGTAGTTTCCAGGAGGATGGTTTCTGGCAGAATGTACTGATATGTAATTTTGCATTCTAACCTAACACACACACACAAACACACAAAAAGCCTTTAGTTTCAGTTAAGCTTTGTAACTTTTTTTCACAACACTTGTGTGGTTTTTTTCCTATGACTCATCTCAGAAACTGAATGTGACAAGTCCTAGTAGGTGTGACAAAGAAAGGTTTCTTGCAAAATATCCATGTAGCTAAGATGATATTTTAGGAGCTGGAACCCCACCTGTTATCCTTTGGGAAGTACAGTGTTTCCTTGCATTCAGGAGAGAATTTTGTACCATCACTTGGCAACTGTGTGAATTGGACCCACTGGAAAGACGGAAGTAGTGATGAAGGGACTTTGATATGGTTTTGCCCAAGCAAAGAACTGCAGGACTGAATCCCAGGTTCATGAATCATGAAAAGTTTTTAAAAAAGCAAAATCATCTGGGATCTAATCTTACAAGCCTTAGCCCTCACTGACAGAAGAGGTTCCATGGCCTGTAGTGATCTGGTTATACAGATGGCTGTCAGGAGTAAGACGTAGACAAAGCTTTTTCCGTCCTTGTCAGGATTGCTTCTTTTTGCCAGATGATTCAGAGGGAAAAATTATGATTGCAGCTACTTTTATTTTATGTTTGAGTGGTAACTACAGTCAATCAAAAGCGTTACTTAGAATCTAAAGGAGACAAGAGTTCTGATGTAGTGAATAATTGTTCTCGTTTTTTATTAAATACTAACCTTAGATGTTTCTGAACTGGTAGAAGAGCTGCTGGACAATACAGTTGGAGCTACGAGTGTTTAAATTCTGATGTTTCTGTGAAATTCTCAGATTGTTTAATCCAACAAAATATATCCTTACAATTTTTTTGTAAAAGAAAATATCCTTATTTATCACTAATATCATAATGAGTAAAGTTAATAAATACTGCAAGCAAGATAAAACTGAAAACACAAGTGTTGTGCTGTCTTTTTACTTTCATCTCTTGGTGTTTAATATTATATATTCCTAAACTTCACGAGTTGCAGGAGACACCACTTAACCTTCATCATCTCCACAGATGAGGCATTTGAGTATCTTGAATGATTGGGTGCAGAGAATATACCTCTCGAAATTCTATATCTTGATCAATGGTGTCTAGCTGCTCAACATCACAATTTAAATGGAGCTTACAGTACATAATATTTTACACCAGTTGTGCAGTGTTGAATTTGTGGTTTTATTCTAAAGGCTAAACTGAAAGATACCTCAGCCATAAGCTTCTTCCTCTACAAGTCCTGGCTGAACGTATCGGGTATCACTCCTGATCCTTATATGATCTTTATATTCTGCAACAGAACTTAGTACATTTTTCTAAGATCTGGATATATTGTAATGTCCTATATCATGTTTAAATGCTATGTACTTCATGTATCTGAAAAATGAATGTATTAAAAAGACAACACACTAGGTCTGATTCTGTCCTGAGAATCTGTTTTCTTTCTGTATGTTGGAAGGAGCTGCCTTTGACTTCAGTGACATTTTTATTAATGCCCTGCAGGCAGAATTTGGAGCCTCTGCAGTAGGGGGAAAGTTTCACGGGGAACTGGGCCGGTGCTTTGTCAGATGATGGATATACATGAAGTGTGTTATCAGTAAATTTGTCAAACAGTATTCACTGGTTTCTGACTTCTGTAGTATGGGAGTACATAACTGAGGCTTCATGATGGTATCGTGCTCCTTGGCTTTACCTTTAGCACATCAGATACCAGCAGACAAAAGAGTTTGCCTCCTATGCTGTTATAAAGTGTTCCAGCAGAGACTAGAATATAATGACACAATGTCTCTCCTTTAGGGAATCTGTATGGTTGCTTTTAACCATACCGCTGATGACGCCGGCGTCATGCTTTTGTTGCTTGATGTTATGTATTCAGCATGCCAAATGGTAAGAGGGTACCACTACTATTGTCAGAAGATAATTATTTTTATTTCTTTGTATGTGGAGTCAAAGCTGCTTTCTACTGTGTGTACGTGTGTGTGTGCATGCGTGCTCCTGCACGCTACTGTAGAAGTGATGGTACTCAAGTTGATTTGATTATGCCCATGAAAGAGTGTTTGAACAGATAGACAGGAGCAGTATGTTGCATGAGTTTTTTGAAAGCATACGTTAATCAGGAGAACCTTTAAAATGCATTAAAAGCAGTTTGTTTTCTATTTTCAAGTTTGTTTTGATACTTTAATAAAAAAATAATATATATTTACGTATGTGTCATTTAATTCATTCTCAATTTCCAGGAGCAGTTTCATTTGCTTACAACAATGTCAAGGTATCAAAAGAAAACAAACACATCTTATAGGTTTTCAAAAATAAGCATCTTACCAGGTGATATTTGTACTGCTCACTGATTGTCGAGATACAAGCAAAGCTTTGTTATGAAGAGGTTGATCATGGATTTCAGCTAATTTCTCATTCTTGGTCTAGACTTAGATTAAGGAATGGGAAGTTAGAACTTCTGAGTCCCTCCAAATCTTACAACCAGCCAGCTGGAAGTTCTTTCAACTTTCCAGTTACCTAAGGGACTTCATACCTTTGCTTTGTGAAGTTTTAATATTTACAGATTGCTCTCTATGGTTATGTGGAAAACTAAAGAAGCACAGTACAATCAGGGCTTTGGTTTCCTTCTGTGTGTTTTTGTGCGTGCAGACGTGTGTGTGGAGAAGCACGAGGGAAGATGAACAAAATGTTCTATCCTGCCTTTCCAAAACTATCTGCACTCAGACAGAAGTCCCTGTGTTTTGATAGCTGGTGGTGTGGACAAAACTTTTGGCTTCAGTCCTTTGCAAGCAATCCTAGCTCGTACTACAGAGATGAGATAGAAGGCCAGGAGCCCAAGGAACCAAGAAATCCACTGCACTATTACAAAATCTAGTTAAAAAATATCAGTTGGAATGAAGATAAGCTACTACAAACCAGGAAACATTGAGTGCTTATTCTTATTGGTACATCTCTTTAAAGATGTGCAGTCCCAACGTGTATGTTCCCTCCCCCGTGTATATGCTCTCTCATGCATTCTCCTAAACCCATCACCAAATGCTATTTTGGAAAACTTGATTCACTTCCAATTTCATAAATCTTTATATCATCTACCTGCCTAATCTTAGAAAACCTTACCAACAGAATTAGACTTATGAATTTCTGAGCTGATATTTTACAATCTTTTCTCATTCGAAACCATCGAATTGCACAAGCATCTGGTCACTGTGACATGTTGCTAATAGAGTAATTAATATTCCTTGAATTAAATAACATGTATCTTCTCCTTCAGTCTTGTTTGAGACACAGTCTGTGCGTGTACTGGACCATGCAGACCTTAACGTATGCTCATCTTTATCCTGTACACTAATAAGGAACATGTTTTAGTTTTTTTCTAGCTCTTCCCTTGATATAAATGAACAAATACTAATACCAAAGGTAGGCAAAGCCAGTGATTCATGCTAGGTATCCTTTTAACAACACCAAATGCTAACAGATCTAAACATAAAACAACTTTTCTATGCGGACCCACCAAGAACTTGAAATTACTTCTTAAGGAGGTGACATTAAAGTCGCTGACATTTTTGGTTTTACCAAAGAAACTGGGTAAGGAAAATGAAACGCTACAGTTGTTAGTAACAAACAGTTTTAAAAGCCAAACCTACTTCATCTTAAAAAAAAAAAAAAAGTCTAAGTTCAAAGTGGCAACTTTGTATCTCACGTCCTTTTTACCTTTTTTCACTTCTTTCCTTCCACCCATGTGGCAGGGCACCGGGCTACCAGTCTCATTGAATCTGGCCGTAGCCGTTTCTATGTTTGCCCAGTGCCCCCAGCTGGGGACCCTGAGAATCACATGAAGAAAATGTTCAAGAATATTTATTTGCGTAGAAATCCTTAGCAACGTTCTTCACTAGCTTATAACGGCAGCAGTGTCAGATTTTTCCTTACATAATAGACGCCATTCCTTTTTAAAGCGCAGTTAAGATAAAGAGTGACAATATTACAAAAAAATCTCATTACTCAAGGCAGACCCTATCGGACACTGAATCAGAACTGCTGACTTCAGTAATAAAAATAGTTCTTTACTAATTTTCAGTTCTCTCAGAGCCATTAAAAAAGAATATACCAGATTCTATTCTTGATACAGAAGCAGGTCTGGCTGCATAGCTTTACTACTGCTGACAGTGATGTGTGAACCAAAAAAAACTAATGATTTTCAGTCTCCAAGTTAAGCATATTTAATCTGACACTAAAAAAAAAAAAAGAAAAATGATTAGACCTGTGAACAGATGAAATAGAAAATGGAAACAAAGTGGGAGTTGATGCCGGAACCCTTTTTCCCACTTTTGAGAATTTGGACATGTCCACACAGCAGTGTGGCGTAGCAATGCTTTTGTACAAGCTGGCAGGGAGAACCACCCAGTGATGACAGCAAAAAACTCAGCACAGGCTTGTTGGAGGCACTGAGAGGATGGGATCTCCATGCAGCCGAAGGACCAGCTGCTCCTGGCATCTGAGGCAGCTCATTTGCAGCCAGGTCAGGTATCATTCAGCTCGCCTGGTCAGAACACATCCCAGAGCCGCCTGCCTTCTTGACAAACTGCTCCACAGGTTCAGCCCAAAGGTCCTTTCCCCGTTTTCTTCCTATGGCAGTGAAGCAGCCACTTAGGGAAGAATGAGAGTAGAGCAAGTATATGTGCTCTGGGTGCTTCCCAAAAGTCCAACCACTCTCAGCTTAGCAGTCACGCAAGCCCAACACGATTCCTTTAGATAGTAACCTTCATCAGGTCTTTGTCTCAATTATTTACCCGCAATACCAGCACCCACAATGTGTTTTGGTGACAAGTTTTGTAGGCCTGACACCACTCATAAGAAAGCTTCCTCTTGTTTCTTTTGACCCCATTCCTTGCAGTTTCACCTGACAGACCCTTGCACATTCTTGCACTGGAAGCATTCATGCTTGTCCGTGCTCTCCAAGCCACTTGTCATTTTACACTCCACTGTGAAGAGTCCCAGACAGTTCAGTCACTTCTTTTGGAACAGATTTCACATCCTCGATCCTTCCTGTTACCTGTTTCTCTTCCGAGAAAGGCTTGTGTCTTTTCCAGGAGTTTAAGATCAGGAGACCATAACTGTAAACAGTATTCAAGACATAGCCAAGCCATGGATCAACAAGGTGGGATCTTGACATTCACTATTCCATAGTTCCAGGAATTTGGTTTGCTTTCTTTTTCTTTTTCTTTTTCTTTCTCTTTTTCTTTTTCTTTCTCTTTTTCTTTTTCCTTTTCTTTTTCTTTTTCTTTTTCTTTTTCTTTTTCTTTTTCTTTCTCTTTCTCTTTTTCTTTTTCTTTTTCTTTTTCTTTTCCTTTTCCTTTTTCTTTTTCTTTTTCTTTTTCTTAACTGCCAAGAGTCAAGCCTGGTGCAAGGGAACTATCAACCATAACCTTGAAGCCTCCCTCCTGAGAAGTAATGATAAAATCGAGCTCAACGTTTCATCATTTCACATATGACAGCAGAGTCAATTTTCCCTATGGGTATTTAACTTAGGAATTAGCAACACATAGGACTACAACAGATCAGTTGGTCTTCATGAATACCCCAGAAATACTTTTTCTTCTTCTTTTTTTTTTTTTTTTTTTTATTGTAATGGAAGAACATATGTGAACTTCACTTGATGCTTTTATCCAAACAGCTACTGCAGTCAAAATTGTCAATCTACTGACAAATTTCTTAAGAGTTAAGAGTTGAGATTGGAACAAAAGAAAATAGTTGGGGAGTAGCCAAATATACAATAGTCCCTCTGCTGACTTGAGTGCAGCTACCTTTTGTTGGCTAGAACAGAGATCCTTTCTCACCTGACTTGGATAAACACAGACCTGTGATAGTGGCACAGTGAGAACTTCCCCTCTTATATCTTTTGCTTTTATCTCCTACAGCCTTCAAAACTGAATCACACAGGATTTGCAACTTCCACGTTTGTAGCTAATTCCTGTGGTTTTACCATGTATTCTTGAAGCCTCAGATCTGAGTTATACACTGTAGGATGAGAAACTCATTCCTCATTACCGAAGTGAAAGCTTTAGAAATACTACTTATTTCTGAAGTAAGAAGTTCAGAAACCAAAAGAAAATAAATTAAGATTCAATTCATTAGACTGTTAATGTTTCGTGTTTAGAAACAAATGTTCTGGGAATCCGGGGCTTGTTTGTTTGTTGGGGAAGGGGAGGGCTCTATTAAAAAGGAGTTCTGAATGTCTGGATTTGGTCACGTCACATTCCTTTGCTGACAGCAAAACTATCCATGGACCAAGGAAAGGTAGCTGTAGAAACTGGTGCTTAAAAGGTTTTCCCACATTATGTTCAAAGAAAAAAAACTCCTCAGAATGAATAGCAATAGAAAGGACAAATTAATTTCAAAAATTACCTGCCTTTCAAAC